AACACTCCCACAAATATTTAAGCATTAGACAGAGGATGTCTGTTCGTGAGCATTACCTTTGGTGCAAACACACTTTTGAATGAAAATAGGGAACACAATGATGAAAACTCCTTGGACATTATCAAACACCATGAAGCAACAAGTTATTGAGCCTGGGGGCTTAGGATCATAGTCTCAGGAGACACCGTGGTCAACTGGTATAATACAGTTCAGAAAGACAATGTTCTACACATCCTACTTGGGTGTGTAGCAACTGGAATCTTAAAGCTCATAAGTGGCTATCTAAGGCACAACTATTGGTCTCTCCATGTGCGAAAGAAAGAAGAGTGATGAAAATGAAGACATTTGGAATCAATTAGTCCGATCGACTAAAGGAACACGTGAACATCAGCCTCATTCCATGACTCTGAGACTAGAACTAGAGGGTGCCCAGCTACCACTACCAACTGCTCTGAAAGGGATCACACATCCCGCATACAATGGGAAACAGTGTGGAACAAAATTCAAAATTATAAAAAAAAAAAAGACCAGGTTTACCGGTAAGAAAGAAACTGGAGGAACCTGTGACTATTGCCCTCGCATACCCTTCATGTCTGGAATGGAACTCACCCTCGTGGCCTAATTTTCAACCAAGCAATGCATAGATAGACATACAGAAGGGAGAGTACTAAGGTATGCTTACCAGGAAATGTTCAAGCATTCAAGATCAAAAGGGCAACATTTACCTGGGGACAAGGTTCAGAGATGTTGGAAAGGAGGGAAATAGGAAACATAGGGAGGAGCAAAATAACTTGTTACATGGAGGGGATGGCAATCGTCGACATGAAGAAAAGTGTAGGGTTTGTTGGTTGTAAAACTGATGATCTGATCTTTTTAAAACTTTCACTAAATCAAAAAAAAAAAGGTTTTTTTAAAAAACTGAATCCTTTAGTAAGCTAATAGCATATCTAAAATCACAGGATAAAAAAAAAGCTTATTTGGTTGAAAAAATTGTAATCAGTCAACATATTTAATGAAAAACATAAACAACTAATTTTAGACTACTGAAAATTCTACAGATTGCATCTTTGCTTTTTTTAACATGTTCACTAACATATTCTGCTCCCAATTATTTTTCCTTTGTGCTGTCATCAATATTTGTCTACCTTTAAGGTTTACTGAAGAGAGCCCTGGTGGCAATGTGGGCTTAGGCATTGTGTTGCAAGCCACAAGACTATCAGTTCAAACCCACCAGCTGCTCCACAGGAGAAAGATTAGGCTGTCTGCTCTCACCGAGATTTACAGTCTTGGAAACCTTATAAAGAGTTGCTAACAGTTAGAATCGACTTGATGCCAGTGGGTTTTTGGTTTACAAAAGTAGTAAGCACTGGAACACTAACAGCAGGGTTGGTGGTTCAAACTCAGCAGTCTCTCCTCAGAAAACTCTATACAAGGTTGCTATGATTCTACAGAACTAACAACAAGAAGAGTACAGAATATCAGTTAGAAGCTTGGACTTTGGCATGAATCCAAATTCTAGCTCTATTATTTACTAACTGAGAGGTCTTGACCAAGTTATTTAACCCGATCTGTGCTTCCATTTCTATTTATAATAAATTATTAAGTGTATTATAGACAATAATACCTATGCCTTATAGAGTTGTTTTGAGTGCTAAATAAGTGAATTCTCATAAATCACTTTGTCAACCTTTGGTATCCAGTATGGAGTTCTGGTATGGTGTTGTAGGATAAGTACTGACTGCAAGGTTGGTGGTTCAAATTCATCAGTCACTTCTCAGAAACCCTACACAGGGTTGCTATGAGTCAGAACCAACTCCACAGCACTTAGCAACGAGAAAATTTATTTTACAGACGTTGCTGATGCTATTTTTAATGTGTTTATGACTACTGTTCTAAAGGAAGATATAGTTTTATTCATACATCAATTCTACAATCTATAAGATAAATAACTTGACCTCATGCTAGAGTGATAGCAAAGAAAGTGAAACATCTATTGTAATATCCTTAGATCACTGGTAAAATTTTGCTGGTGAACCCAGTTCTCCACATACTTCAGAGCAGAAATGTACACAGGGTTTTCAATGGCTGAGACCTTTCAGAAATATATCACCAGGCCTTTTTTCTGAGGTCCTGAATGAATTAACACCTCCAATCTTTCAGTTTGTGCTACTCAGGGACTCCTTCCAACTCTAGCCTCCTTTAACTTCTCTGAATTCACAAATAACTGTTTATCAAGGAAATCAACTTAAATATTCCTAATGACCGCTGAAAAGAACTTACTTGACAAAAATGTGAACCAGCTAACCAAATAATCAAATAATACAAATAGTCCTTTACTCATACCAGGGCTTCGGGCTCTGTTCCTAAGACTCAAACAGAAGTTGGTTCTGCTGTGAGTTGAATATCACATTGTTATTTTTGTTTGTTAGTTTTAATTGGTATTGCTCTTTATTATCAGTATCTTTATAAACCATAACATTGAACATTTGCAAATGGACATCTGAGAATAATAACATCAGCCAACTATGCAAAATTGTACATAACCCATAATACTAACAATAAGAAGTACACACACAAAATACACTGAACAGTTATAAATGAGGTTCATCATAACTCATACACATCATAAATCACGGACTACATGTAATCTATAAAGTTTACATTTGAAGCAGTTAATCACCACACATTAAAACAACCTTTCATAAAATACAAATCCTACTGTTTTACAAAAGAAAAACCATTAAGTCAAAACTTCTCCATTACAATTTTAAAACAATTCTGTTCAGTTCAAGAAGGAGCCTGGCAGCACTGTAGGATAAGCACTGGACCGCTAACCACAGGTTGGCAGTCCAAACCCACAGGCACTCCACAGTAGAAAATGAGAGTTTGTGCTCTGTAAGAATTCACAGCCTTGGAAATCCCATACAGGGTCACTATGAGTCAGAACAGGCTTGATGGCAATGGGGGAAATGTTCTGTTAAGAAACAACTCTTCGAAACAAGGTATATGAATGTTTGAATGTGAAACCGATGATGTGCCCTGAAAACTTTCACTCAATCCACAATAAAAACCTTAAAAAAATAAAAAAAAAAGAAACAACTCTTCTACTCACCAAAAAAAAAAAAAAAATGTATCAAATACTAAAATGAAACTTTAAGTTACCTGAGTTTACATGTAGCTCCTGAATTTAAATCTAGACAAAAATCATTCCTTATACAGCCACCGTGATAGTTAAAACAATATATATAATAGGGTTTCAAAAAGTTTATGGGAAAATGGAATTAAAATCATGGGAATTTTTCCACAAAATTTTTGAATCCTCCTTGTATTATATCTCTACCACCTTGTGTGGTACCAATAGTTACTTAATAAATGTTAATTCATTGGCTGTTCTCAGACATATGGTTTGAAAAACAAGCAGAAAAATTAATATCTCACTTTCAATACATTTTTATATTCCAATCTTTTGAAACAGTTCATATTTTACCACTGAGTTTAAATATAAAATGACAGCTACTTAAAGGAAGGATCTAGTTTTAATTAAACACAAAATGCAATGCTTTTTAGTACACAAATGTCTCATACTGAGGCATCCACAAAGCAACAGGAACGTCTCAATTTGTAACTTCTATTAAGAGAAGGTGCTTTATTTAATTAAATGATAGTTGCTAAATTAAATATCAGATTAGAGATCTCTAGTATCACTGATTAGCTAAAGGAAAAGGAAAATGTCTCCCAACTCCAGTATCTCTACACTACCAGAGAAGTTATCTTTTAAGCCATTTTCTTCGTGGACAAAGAACAACCAAGCAACCGCAAATAAATTACAAGGAAAATTACAGCATTAGAAGAATTTTTCTGCAGTCACAATCAAAGAAAAATGTTATTTGTATTATTTTGATAGTGTATTACAATTAGTAAACACAAAGTATGTGTGCTTTTTCACCCACTAACATTTTCTTACCTTTCCATTACTGAATAGATGTCTGCTGCATCAAATAGATATTATTGAAAGGAGTGAAGAATACAGAGAACATTTTGAGAATTCAAAAGACTTATCAATACATATACATTATATATATATATATACACGTACATACACATCTTTGTATATATACAAGGATAAATCTTTTGAATGTATACATATATGTATATGTACATTCCAAATTTAATAGGGGGACTGAACTCATGAGAGGTGGGAAGTTAGAGTGAGCTCACCGTGAACACAGTACTCTTCCAACACCTACATCTCCCCCAACATAATGAAGGCTTTCCCAAGAATCATGAACACATTAAATACCCGACTCCATTTATCAACCAAATCATCTTCAGTATGTTTCTTATTTTCCTTTTCTTTCTTTCTCTTTTTAATGTATAGATAACTAAAATTAAATGATAATGGAATTTTTCTATGAACTTTTTGAAACGCCAAGTACAGAGCACAACTGAGATTTCCTGTTCTTCCCCTCTTTATAATATGTGAGTATTATAACTATCACTGTGTTAAAGAAAACAAAAATGTAAATAAGTATCTATCTTTCCTGACAGAAACCATGGTGGCTCTATACGGTAAGTACTGACTGAGAACCACAAGGTCAGTTGTTTGAGTCCTCCAGCCACTCCAAAGGACACGGATGAGGCTTTCTGCTCTCGTGAAGAGGTACAGCCTCAAAAACCCTATGCTAGATCACTATGAGTTAGAACCCACTCTACAGCACTTAACAACAACAAACCTTTCCTGACACACAAACAAAAAAATTCAAAGAAATACTTTAAAATTTCAGAATAAATTAATATAATATCTGGAATTTAATAGAAAACTAATCACATTATCTGTGTTTTCCAAAGAAACTGTAACTAAATGTTGAGGGCAAAAGAAGCATGTTACTTTAAATTACAGTTGCATAGAAATGCTTACATTTTAGAACTTTAAAAATTAAGATTCTGTTTTTTAAAAATGGAAGAAGAAAATGAACAGTAATTCAATAAAGAAAACTTACCAAATATGTTAGTGGAGTGTCCTTTCCTTGCAATGGGCCTGAGCTCATTATGCCCCCATCCATACATCCTATAATTATCCCAGGCGTGTTTCATCATCTGAGGGAGAAAAAAAATTATAATCCATCAATTTACATTCTTCAAAGACTTATTTATTAGGAAGTATCTCTTTGGCATTCTTTCCTTTATAAACTACTACTCCATTTTGGAACTTCATTATGTCCTTCTTTCGTTATGATTATAAAAAGCAGTCAATCAAGGGGTACTGATTATACTAACACTTAACTCAGTGCCTTCTCCTTAGACATTGTCAAGTTACTCAACAAGCAATTTTTTTACCACATTTTCCACCACATCGAAGACTCTGCTTTTAGGTATGCCTGGCATGTGTCCTTCTCCCAATCCCACAACATCTTCCTCCAGAATCAAAGCCTCTTTTCAATGTACCAAATCCAGATTTCTGATTCATCTTCTCCAAAAGCTGAATGGTTTCCTTCTTGCCGGGAGCCAGCCCCAGCAAACTTATTCCAGGGTTTTTCCGAAAGCGGGTGCGGCGTCGGCGGATTACGGAGTCATGGGCCAAAATAAATTCAAAATCTTCTCATTACATGCTTTATTATTATTATTTCTATGGCTACAGGGTCACTATGAGTAGGAATCGACTCCACGGCACATAACAACAATGGCTACTCTAATACTCTACTTCTCTCATTCTTTACTGTCGCGCTCATTCTTTACTCCCCTGCTCTCCTGCTCATATCTTCTGCGTCCTTTCTCCCCTCCCCTGGTTCCTGCTTCCCTTCTCTCCTCTCCTGCTCCCCTCCTGTTTCCATTCTTTCCATTACTATCTTCCCCTCCCTCCATTCTTGTCTCGTTCTATTTTCCTCTACTTACTCTTACTTCTACTTCTTGCCTCTAATTCTTCTTCCACCCATTCTTCTACTTCCCATCTTCCCTCTCTTCATCCCTTCTACTTCTTCCCTTCTTTACCTCCTTCTTCTTTGTTCTACACCCCCCTGTTCTATCTTACAACCCCCTTATATACCATTACAGAAAACATTGCTTTCATAGTAATCAATGACATCAAGGTACAATCTATCTTGAGGCACATTCCTTATGGTTTACAATTCTTAAATTTACAACAGGGATGAGAAGTTACAGCAAAGACATTATCTCAAGGCACAGGAGACATTCAGGCGCCTTGAAACT